GGCACATTTTGAACAAACTCACTGCATTAAAGAGAAGTCACATGTGCTTCATGAGGTGTGGGTGCCACAGCAGCCCTAGAAACTCTGAAGCGACCGACGTTTCTTAACTTCACCTGACTGGCGACAAGTTCGCTGTTCACATGTCCGCGCACCACCTCCATTAGCTTTGTTTGTTTTGGTTGTATATTTGTTTGTCGTTAAAAGCTACACTCATCAATGTTCAAGCTATATGACGGCGGCCTGTGAATAATCAAGTCTGGACCAGACAATCCAGTGATTGACATCAGGGACATAGGGTATTAAAGAGCATGTTGAATGGGTTTTGCCATAACGTTTCACTGCGAGTACTTTCCTGGCAGTAATTGTAAGCTCTACATTGGTATTTGCTAACTAATTTGAAATAATGGATATCTGTCTGAAATTCCGTGTGCACGAAACGGAAATATGACGTATGGAACATAAGGTATCGCAACTAACAAAACCCAGACCTGAATACGAGTTGCGTCCCTTTGACGTGCCAAGAGCTACTGTTCGTGGTTTGAACCTCAGATCATCGTCATCTTTTGTCCGTAAGTGCCCGTGATCGTGGGTGGCATCAAGGTGTCTAAGATCAGGATCAGTAAACCTTCCTCCAACCGCCATGACTTAAATACTGTTCAAAGTGACGTTACGCACAACAGAGCACACAACTATGATCATAATTTCACAAAGAACACAAAGATGAAAAACACGTTGAAGTTGATTACTACAATTCTTTCATTATTTCTTTTTCTCTGTATGAAAACCAACGCGTTAGCTATGTTACATCTGCATCTTTGATAAGAAACATGTCGAATGACTCGCATGATCGAGATGGGCCTTTGATGAGAAATACGTTTTGCTTTCGTCAGAGTAAAACAATATCTTTCGTGGGAATCGGGGCCCTTTGGGAAGCATGCAACGCCTAATTCCTTTGAATTTCTTTCAGACTTTTGGTTGCGTTTTTTGCATACTTTGTACTTAAGGTATACATTTTAAAGTGTTTAAGTTGAAAATGAGCGCTTTACACCTTGTTTTTCGTAAGCTGTTTTCATGATTCACTGGTAAGGTCGGTCTCAAAGAGCTTACACTTCTCTTGAGCCATTCATGGTCCTTGTTCATCAGTTATATGTAACGCTACGTAGGCCACCCACCCATGCTTCAACATAGTCCACCCGTGAAGGTCCGGGTTAGAATACTGATCTTCAGTAACCCATGCTTGTCGTAAGAGGCGACTAACGGGATCGGGTGGTCAGGCTTGCTGACTTGGTTGACACATGTCATCGGTACCCTATTGCGCAGATTGATGCTCATGCTGTTGATCACTGGATTGTCTGGTCCAGACTCATATAGCTGGAATATTGCTGAGAGCGGCGTAAAGCTAAACTCACTCACTCACTCAACATAGTCTTACCGTTTGGCATATGACCCAGTTGTCAAGCGTCAAGTGCCGCATCTTAGGAACGCCAGAAGACTGCGATCATGGGTTCGAATCCCAGTGTAGGTTTGTCAGGACCTAAACTTATGCTCGTGGGTTTTCAAAGTGACAAACGTTTCCGACTTCCGATTTGAGCTTCAATCCAACTTCAAAGTGAACGTTCAATGCGATGTTAAACCTCACTCACTTATTCACCCACTCACTCCACATGGTTCGATTCAAGGTTTGAACTCACAATAATATCTACCCAAGCTACGTAACTGCGAGTCTGCATTGCATAGGCGGATCCAGAGGTGTGTGTGTGCGTGCGTGCGTGCGTGCGTTTGCATGCAGGGGTGCGCACCACCTCTTTTGTCCTGAAAGTTTATTAAATGCCAATTGAAACTCTCGTGAAAATGAAGTGTGCACCCCTCCTTTCTCAATAGTGTGCACCCCCTCTTTCTCAAAAAGCTGTATCCGGCCCTGCATTGGTCTCTCGACATGCTCTACAGAACATAGCCGCTATCTGTACATGCACAGTTTACATCGGTCGTATATCAAAGGACATGGACTATGGTCGGTTTATCATCACACAATGTGATCCATAGTTTCGCTTCAATAGGCCTTTTATTCCCTTCTTCATAATACAAATTTCTCCGCGTGACGATTATTTCTTATCGTTTACGAGCCAACGCTTTAGTTTAAGTTTTTGTAACTGGTTGAATGTGTTGGTTATATATGTCACTGACAATTGCACTGTACGGAATATACATATTAAATATACAATTTCTTTCTTAAGGCTGACCGTATTTACTTTATGATCCATTGCTTCAGATTTTCGCATTGGTTTGCCGCGTTGTCTGACTGAAAAGTGGCGGTAGGTCCGTCAGTATTTACACAGTTAAGACATTGGGGAGATTCTACTCGTGGGTGGCGGTTTTACATAGATTTATAGCAGCGTTCATTAAAATAATTGTCGAAACGCGAAGGTGTTTTATATTCACAGACGGAAGTCAATAACCCAGGTTGTCGTCAGATGTTAGGACTTCCGTAAAGTTTCCGAAACAAGCCCTATTTTGTTCCGATACTTGGGAGTGTTTTGAGCGTTAGGACGTGTCAGAGATTTCACCATCCCCAACTTTCTGTGTTGCCGCTTGTTTCCTCCTGTCTGACAGCTATTCCCTGAGACAATCCCTTCACAGATAGTTGTCAGTACCAACGTAAAAGGCCGCGGTAGTAACGCTCTCATACTGGACGCTGCATTTGGTCTTTGGGTACACACTAAAGCTTTCGTCAAATTAAGCCAGTATGCATTCGTGAATTTTCTTTTGAGATATGTAAACATAGTGACTCATAGCCGTTGACTAAATATATATTGCTGCAGACAGAATCTATTGTTAGCCAATTGACTACTGAGTAAATACTAGCTCAAGGAAAGGTGCGTTAACATCACCCAAACAAACATTCATCCGACTGTAGTTTTGTTCCACAATATTACAGGGATCTATCGGCATGAAGGCTATTGACGTCGCCACTGGGAAACGAACCCCCATTGGAGCTGAACTATATCCTCAGCAGGAAAGGCGAACGCCTACGCTTCTATGCTTACCCTACTCTTCCCTAAAACTAATTGTGTCATACGACTACCTTCCAGTGAAAACATTAGGTGGTGGACAAGTGGGTAAAGCGTTCGCTCAGCTTCCAGAAGGTCCGGGTTTGATTCTCAACATAGATACAGTGTCTGACGACCATTCCCGGTGTGATGTTGCTGGAATCATGGTGACTGCGATGTAAAACCATACTAACTCAGTCAGTCACTCAGCTGGTCGGGATATATACCTACATCTGTCTCTTCACTTGAAACCTGCAATCTTTTTACCTATCAATGACTTATAGTTAGCTTACTCCACATATATATATAGCGCCAATCAATAGCACATGGGAGTGTGGGATGTGTGTGCAGCTGTCGTTTCACCTAATTAACATGATAACCTGTGTAAAACATTGCAATTTGGTGTCACTTGTAATTATAATTAACATGATAACCTGTGTAAAGCATTACAAATTGGTGTCACTTGTAATTATAATTAACATGATAACCTGTGTAAAACATTACAAATTGGTGTCACTTGTAATTATAATTAACATGATAACCTGTGTAAAACATTGCAAATTGGTGTCACTTGTAAAAATACTGTTAAAAGACTATGTGATAATCACGTGTTTAGGAATCGCTATCAATTGGGATGATGCCAGGTGTCTGCTAAGGAATGAGCGTTTACGGCCCCACAGGTGCCCCCCGTCACAAACACATGCAAAGCCAACTCACTTGTTCAAAAAAGTAGGAAGGAAGGGTGATGAAGTTCTACCATGGGTTTGTATTTATCTATATATCCATCCATATATTCATATCAGCTAGGGCAGTGAGGTAGCCGAGTGGTTAAAGCGGTCGCTCGTCACGCCGAAGACCCGGGATAGAGTCCCCACGAGGGTACAATGTGTGAAGAACATTTCTGGTGTCCCCCGCCATGATATTGCTGGAATATTACTAAAAGCGGCGTAAAACTAAACTCACTCACTCATATCACCTAGGGAATGTGACTTGACCATCTTCAAATATTAAAACCTCGATATTCTTCTTTTTCTACAAGTGACAAATATGTATTTGGAAGGTAAAGTTCCGGATATTCATTAAATCATTAATATCAAATTACTATGAACACATATATTAACTTGCATAGCCTACTAGATTCTAAAGCTTCGGTTCCTTTCTACCTCTACATAAGTATGCAAATGTTGGGAGGCAGCAACCATAACTTTATACAGATCTTTTACACATACTTTTACTTAGTGTAATGTAAGTATGATTAAAATGTATTGGTAACAAATAGAAATGCCCATAATGCACAGCAGATCCAAAGAAGGGTCCATCAGGAGGTACCCCTCCCATCCCCGCCCTTCTGAGACACATCGACCGCGGCCAGCGTCATAGGATCTGCAACCGCAGTTTTGTCAAAATCCTGGGCCCGCTTATGTTATATTATTTGTAAACAAAACATTTACTTCCGTTATTAGGATTACGAAACAGATAGAACCATTCTCACTGTACGTCTCAGTCCATTCATTAGCTGTAGGGTTATTTATAGTAAACTAATCATTTTGTTATCTCCCCCTACGAGTGTTTTTCCCCGAACAAGGTCAAAGTTCATACTAGTCCGGAAGTGATACTGCTTCCAACAGTAGCGACGCTCTCTCGCCATGGTATGGGCGCACTTCGTAACACCTCCAGGTAAATTATATATTTCCTTATAGGGTTGACGCCTTGACAAGCATTGAACGCGAGCAGTTATCGATTTTGTGCAACGTTCTATTCGTTTCCATTTAGTAGCGTGTCGTCTGCTTGTATTACGAAGTTTTTCTTCCAGTTTTACATGTAGCAGACGACACATCTCAGATTCAGCAGTGCTGGGGTAAAGAATTACTGTTCCAGATTTGTCTCTGTGTCAGTATAGCGTATTTACTGTATTGTAATGAGAATTAAATGTTTTTGCTTCCTTTCCAACAGGTTGTCGATGTGAATTCTTCTTGATGGATCGGATTTAGCAGATGAAGATTTTGACAAGATATTTAGGAAGTGAGCTGGGCTGGCATTCGAAAAACGTAAGTCTGACATATGTTTATTTTCCTTGAAAAGCACTGAACTAGACACCAGGAGGCGTGTGTCATTACATGTTTGAATATCTATTTAATCTGTAAAAGTCATATCATGTAAATGTATTGTACCATTATTTCAACTGCAGAGATTAGGCTGTGAAGGGTCATGTTTATGTTTTCTGTACAACTAGGCCATTTGGGGTGTGGCGTGTATTTTTAAGTTCGTATATTCCCGTTTGGATTTGGGGTCGAACATTTTCAAGCTGGAAAATTATTTAAGCGTTTAAGGCATGTGCTCAGCAAAAATCAAGCACAGGCATCTCAGTGTTCTGATGGAATAGTTACCACCTGAAGAAATGTCATTGTCTACCACCTGCAGTAATGTCATCGTCATACAAAATTGTGAACAGCATCTTCAGCATTAAGTATGATGGCTGTGAATGTAACTGTGTCTTTCATGCTTAAATAGAAGTAGGTGTGATGTCAAATTTTAATAACACTCGTTTCTCTGGAGTTGCTGTGCATTGTGGTAATTCATCATAAAAAAACAACATTTTTCTGGAATGTTTTAAAAGCATTGCAACAGTTACTTTAAATTTATTGATTTCAGTTTCCATGGTTACTGCTCAAGATATATTGCTAGTATCTGAAAGTGGAGTGTTTTCTTTGTATGATGCTATGCAAATTACATACATCATTACATAGCTAAATGCATGACACAGAAGCTCAAAAACCATTCTGCTCAAGCATTTGGTTATTCATATCCCACACATTGAATAACTCAGTTCTTGGAACAATGTTGTACATAATGAATTAGTTAAGGGTATGCAGACAATTGACATACAATGTGTGCAACATTATGTGTTGTTGGTAGTCGGGTGTGTAGTTGCTGTAGTCAACACTTATTGTTACAGTATAGCCTGTTGTGTAGATATTTCCTTGTTGAATCTAAATTACCAATATTCTTCTTGAAGAATATTGAGACATAGTAACACCTTTTAAGTTCAACCTAAACAATATTAAGTCTGTTTAATGTTTTCCCATGTTTACAAAAGAATAGTCTGCAGACCTGCTTAACATTGTTTTCTCCTTCACACACCATTACACAAGGCCTCACAGTTGCAATACTGGAGTAATATAATTTAGGACTCTTGGCAAACCAAGGCAAACTGATTGCTTATTTTCTGGAGCAAGCAGTCTTCCCCTCATGGGGCAATTAGAATTGGCTAATGCTTTTAACTACAGACATGGAGGTAATTTTAAGTCAATACACACAGTCTACTGCTTCCTTTATGCTTAAACTTTCTAAACCTTCTTCAAGGATACGCTTACTCCATAGTTAAACATTCCGTAAGAAACAAATATTAAGCTTATATATACAGCATAATGATACATTCTGTGGGAGAAGGATCTTGTCTTCTCTGGAAATTTGTCAGTGTGGGAATACATTTTCTGGGTATTTGAAGTTATGTCTTTTGTGTTACTCCGATGAATTATTTCATCTGTCTTTGTCAGTTTAATCTCTAAAAGGGTATGAGAGATGCCTGAGAAGCTTTCGTAATTGTTCAAATCATCAAACATGCACAAGAAATTAGAAATAATGGACATTGTGTAACAGGTTCACTGGAAGTATTGAAAAATCCATATCATCCTAAAATATAATCACTGCTTTATGCAAGTTGACTTAAGCAACATGAATTCAGCATTGGCATCAGTTGTTTTCCTCACTTGAATTAAGATTTATTGTCTTCCTTCCAAATGGACCGGTATGAATAAAAGGCAGTTTCTTGTCAAGTGTACTCATTTCATTTCACTGCTGCTACAGCAGAGTTCCTTCATATACAGCGGCAATGCGGTTGCCAAGTGGTTGAAGCGTTCACTCTTCATGCCTAAGACCTGGGTTTGATTCCCCACATGTGTGAAGTGTGATGCCCATTTCTGATGCCTACACCCCCCACCCACCCACAGTGATATTGCTGCAATATTGCTAAAAAGCAACTCACTCACTCACTCGGTGGTCATTCATGGGGCATGGTGACTTTTACCTGACATTAAAGTGTGTGTCCTGGACCCACAAGTATAACCAAGGGTATATTGCAACATTAAGGATGCAAGTATGTATTTATTATCCCCACTTCTTGAAGAGATATATTGAGGTCATGTAATTACAGTAATTTTCAAAGTTTACAGTAGAGTACACTGCAGCATTTCATAACTTTATGGGACCCTCAAATTCTGTAATAACCCTTAAAATAAATTACCTGGTATAAGCATTCCCCTTGATCCCTAATTTTGAAAGCTGAAGTACAACCTGGAGCACATACAAATTATGCCATGTCTATTTCAGTCATATTGTAAGAAAACTCTTGTACATGCTCAGCCATTATTGAGGTAGTGAGTATAGTTATTATTCCATTCTGAGCAATAGTTCAGTAATATCACATCTGTAGACACCAGATATGGGCTTCACAACATGTAACCAGGAGAGGAGAGAAAACCCATCCCCTTAGCATGATCAGTAGAAACTGCCAGCCATTTTCATAAACCTACAAGATGATATTCAGCCACAAGTCTGCAACTTTCGTCAGTAAAAGTTCCAAAACTGGGTTTAATTATTGTTTATTTCATATACTATTGCTATAGATTATGTGAAAGCTTGGCCAAAGGGACTTGTAATTCTTGTAATAACTGAATTCCAGAAAGAGAACAAGGCTAAATTTAACATTTTGGTATTGAATGCAGTTATATGTGCAGTGTAAAAATATCTCTGAAAATACAAAATTGAAATCTTTAAATACCTATTGCTCAGGGCTCATATTGTGGAATCATACATGAATCCCAGGCTGTAACCACAAGGCCTCCTCAATACGTTTGCTGGAAAGTAACACTGATAGAGACAAGCTGTTGTAAGGTCACAATTTAAAAAATAGGTTTTGTATATATTTCAGTGAGGCTTTTGTTTTGTTTGTAAGGAAAAAAACATGTTGAAATTTAGACACTGTTATTTCCAAAGCTATGTAGACATCCTTCTCTTCAAACCATGGCCACTTCTCAGCCACAAAAACAGTTGTTTATCCTAAGTAATACAAATCATAAAAGGGCTGGATTCTGCTATGCATATGCCATGTGCAATTAAGAATCAGTTTGTTACGATGTGTGCAGCAAACCTCTGGGTAAATAAGCAAAACAGTCATGGAAAACTCAGCAGATATGTGGCATGTAACCAATACCTCTAACAATAGCCTGAAGATGGAAAACTGCATGCATCATTTCAATAATGTTAGCCTCATCAATCAGTTCACCCTGTGTTTACCTCCTTCTAGCTGGAGGGGAGTCGGAATGATGCCAACCCTTGAGACATCTCAAAGGGAGGACAGTTATATTTATCCTATTATAAAAAAATATTTATTTCTCATGTCAGTGTTTATTTTTTCACACTTTCGATGTCCTGCCCAGGCATGTATTGCTTTGATATTGACTTCAAATTAATGTTGTATGAAAATATTGCCTGGAGTTTTAGCATCAGGAGATAGGTGTTCGTGTTGTAATGAACTTACTCAATATTGCAGCACTCTTTGGTAAACTCTTTATACTTTTTTATGAATATTTTGAACTCTGTTGTTTTAATCAGATTCATTTCATAATCACAATTATTCTATTGCGTTCAAGGAGGTCACTCACTCACTCACTCACTCACTCACTCACTTACCTACCCACTCACTTACCCACTCACTCTAAAACTCTAAAGATATTAACTAGTATCAGAATATTAACTACCAAATGTAGTTTTATTTGCCTGGAGCTACAGGCCAGTGTCTAAACTCAAGGAGCATGTCCTTAGAATATTAGCATCTGTCAGTGAAGTAATTATTTTCATTTATAAATGTTAGGAAATGCATACTTTGTTACAATACTTTGATTGACTTAACTAAGCAGACAGGGGGATCATTGTGTGTATATTTGTATCAGCTATGTGTGAAATGATATTGATTTGTAGCAACAAAACATATGGCATTGATGCACCTGGTGTCAGTTCAGAAGTTACAGTCTAATGTACCAACAGGTGTTTACCTGTTGTCAGTGCAGCTGTTGTAGAGGGGATGAGATGATGTGTAGGATTTGACCATATCCTGACTCCAGGCTTTGCTACTGGTCAGTCCAGTCTACTCATGAATCCCTTCTCTCTGCCGAAGGAACTCAATTAGTTGGAATATTTCAGGTATGTGATGAAAATTGTTTCTGTAAATTTTCAGTACAAATTCCCCATTGTGACATATTATCTGGACATGGTATGCATCATCTATTGCTTGCCATTTGGGTTGTCAAATTTGATTTTGCTACCATGATATTGGAAGTGCATCCTGAAAAGAACTTGTAGAAAATATTACTACTACTACTACTAATAATAATGATAATGAGTATTTATAAAGCGCTGTATCCATCCATGCACAAAGCACATACCCTAGTATTTAGTTCTAAACATGAAAATTATACAAATAGTTCTATATAATTTGATTGGATTTGCTGCTGCTGTCTTCCAGTTATATCACAGCATATTACCTGTATGTGGGAGGAAAACCTGAAGTAATGAGTGAGTGAGTGATTTGTTTTTTATGCTGCTTTTTTAGCAATATTCCAGCAGTATCATGACAGGGAACACCAGAAATGTAGGTGTCAGTTGTTAACAGGGTATCCAGCTGACCGAGAAACATAATCTGGATGAACCAGGGTTTTAACTCACACTTGCTGGCTTCTGGTATGCTGAAGGGATACAACGCTGCAAACTCATTAGGGTACCTTAGTCGACCAAGGTCCCTGCCCCCAAATTTGATCAGACATAAAAGGACAAAGAAATACTGGTAGCAATACTGTGATCATGATATTGTTGAATTGCTGGACTGTGTTGTTATGTGTATGATTTGCCATGATTAGGATCTATGGTTTAGTACCATAACCATGCTCCTAGGTTTCATCAGCATTGTAATTACAAGGACTGGCATAACCAT